CCGAGGTGGAGCGCTCCGTCGTGGCGGAGCATAAGAGGGGCTTTCAGAAGGCTGCTCGTCAGGCACGACTTCTTGCTCCCGGGTTCGACTTCTCTTCGACGCATGTGGAGAAGGTGGTCCGTCGTGGGAGGATTGTTTCGGAGGACGATGTTAACGACAGTTCCAGTGAAAATGCCTCCGCCTAGGCTTTCTTTGTAATTTTTGTTTCCTTTTTCTCTGGCTTGAATTGATGTACTCGATTTTGTGAACTTTGTTTGTATACATATATGTATGTTGCTCTATTTTGTTCGTTTTTGCGTTCAGTTTTGGCTGTTCGCGCTCTTTGAGGCACATGTTTGGTGTCTGTTATATGCTTTTGTATCGGGTGATACTTCTACCTTGAGCTGGTGAAGTCGAGGTTCGAGGCTGACCTTAGTTTTTTGCTTGGTAGGGTTTTTCGTGGGAGCTCGAACTCAGCCGTAAATGAATGTGTTAAGATTCGTATTCGATCTCGAATTTTGACTAAGTAATTGTTGTGAGAGTTCATAAATGACCCTAGGCTGGAGTCAAGGTCAGCATTCGACCCTAAGTCGGTCGTGCCGGGGTTCGAATTCGACCCTGGTATCGAGAGTGGGGTGTGCTTTGCCAGGGTTCAGAGTTGTCCTCAGGTTAGTGGCGAAACTGTCGATGGACCCTGCTTCGTTAGCGGTGCGCATCGCCGCGAGGTCATTCTCATGCTGGATGCGCATATTCTGGAGGTCGGCGTCGTGCTGACGCCGCATCTGCTCGACTTGTTCGACCAGCCGCCTCAGGGTCGCGGTGTCGCTGTCCATGGTAGTTGAATTGCTTGTGTTATCTATTGCTCGTCTAATGTGGCTTCTGGCAGAAACCATGCAGGTGGCCGATGAGAGCTTGGTCTGATCGGTCCCACGGTGGGCGCCAAATGTTCTTACCGGAAATCTGCTGTAGAGCTGATCCACCGGGTAAGATCGGTGAGCCTCCTTTGCCGGGTGTATTGGTGCTCCGAGATGGGGGAGGTACCTGCAAAAGAGACTCCGATGCTAAAGTTAGGGTTTGCATGAGTAATAGTCTCATATATATAATGCACGTATCTTGAGGTGATCTAGGTTTGCCTTGGGCTTTTGGGCTTGAGATAAGATATATCACGATATGATATGATATAATTGAAGGGCGGATCTGGTCTGGGACGAGATCCTCGGAATCAGGTATGATTCGCTCAAATGCCGGGCTGACGTCATGCACCGCGTGCCCGGGGTGACTTATTTGCAATACTAATCCGGGCTAGGAGCCCGGGTGCGAAGTACGGTTAGTACAATAACCATTGGATATATCTAATGACTCAAATTTAATCTTATAATTAATGTAAATTCTTAAATGATTTTTATAAGATTAAATTTGAGTCATTAGATATATCTAATGGTTATTAATGTTGCTGGAGAGAGAATATTGCAAGAGAGGATCCAAATTCATCTCTGCCTCATGGGTGTGGCTGGAAACTAATTATTTGTATGGTTGTAGAATGTATCAGGCACTTTTGGCAGCAGGAGATCATAGATCTGCTGACTTTATGCTTAAGAAAATTCCACAAGATGATGCCGAGGTTTGTTCTGTCATCATAGCAGGTCAGGAAACTTACAATGGTTTTAATTCTGTAGGAGGGGAGAAAAAGCAAGGAAAAATAAAAAAGAAAGAAAAGAGTAAGACTTGAATACTAGTTCCATCTTGGGAAGAGAGATACCCAATTTTTGTTTGGCTTTAGAAATATGCTTCACAAAGGGTGATGTACCTGATTTAATATATACTTAACCTATTGATTATCATTGAAGATGTTGGTTCCAATTAATTATATTGAGGGTGGTCCTACTTGATTTAGAATAGGCCTGTAGCCGGGCTAAATGGTACTTTTGGGTTCTCATCTTATAGGCTAATTGTATCCTATATTATAGCCTTTCATTTGTGGTTTGGAAAGGTGCCTTTTGAATATGAAGAAGGCTTTTCACTTTTCTCTTATAGAATTTAGTTCTAGAATGTATTTAATACATTTTGGAAACTAAATTCTGAAATATTTATCTATTATTAAAAGTATGTTCGGAAAAAATAATATTACTGGAAAAATAATTACAAAAGCAGGGAAGTCTATTGAGAAAAAAATGGGAGTGCAAAGAGAAACTCTCTTATGTTTATGCTTAAAAAGTTTGTCTAATACTGTTTTATTTATGTTAGAAAAATGAAATGAATTTAAGGCCCAAAATTTAAGCTCGGTGGCCATTTACATGATATAAAAAAGTGAAGGAAAATTGGTGGTCGATCATCCACATCATATATCCGAAGTATTTTCCTTTTGGTACAATGATTTCTTTTTGGGTTACAATGATTTCTTTTGTTTTTACTCAAAAGCGAAAATAGTCATGGAAATAATAAAGTTATTATTAATCATTATCTCTGCCTTGCTATTGACATTGTTGTTATGATATAGGACGGATAATACTTTATATCAATACTATAATTATAAAAATGATTAATAAAAAAAGTGAACCCAACTTGCATGTTCGAGTGGCAAATTAATTTGGTGAAAAATGTGAGAAACTTCAAAGATGCTGCCACGAAAGTGCGACCAATTATGTTAGCTTTTATTATGCTGCGTAAAATACCCACTTGTATTTCTATATTTAGTTTTGTAAACAGCTAATATTCATATCTATTTTCTGCATAAATAAAAATATTATGAATCTTTTACATAAATATATATAATAAGCATTTCCCTTACTCATCATGTGATTTTCATGTATCCAACCATGTATTTCTTACAGCCTTTGTGCCCAGAAACAAAATTCTCATTGCCTTTTCTAATTGCAATGGATTCTATAATCCCATCATTAAATGCAGACCCAAAGAAAGAAAAAAACTGACATCGCCAAACACTTTCCAAGCTCCATATTGTAGAGATAATATGTATTTACAACCATGTAAATATATATAACCAACCTTAAATTCTTAATTCTAATTGATAAATCACAAATCTGTTGGGTTTGGGCTCCCATCCTATGTGGAGAATGGGCCCAAAAATGAGTAAAAGTGGTGGTTACTTAAATAATATGTGGTTAAAAGAGTGTTTTGCGAAGAATAAAGGATTTCAAAATTATATATAGAGACAAAATAATTGATTGTATTATTAAGGGTAAAAAGATCATGAATAAAAGTATAGACTAAATGATAGTTATCTACCGCGCGACTTCATGCCGACAAGGTCCGGCAACTCCACGAGAGCGGGGAGCTGCAGCGCCTCATTGAACGCCTTCAGTTATGGTGGGTACGTGGCTTTGAAGATGGCTGAGATGTACTTAACAAAAATAAAAATTAAACACAATAACGTGGCAATTTATGATTGGAGGGACAAGGTTTGGAGATAGGAGTTGGAGACAAAAAATTTTCATCCTATTTCAACACTGAGTGTTTATCATATACGTAGATTATTCTGCCTCAATTTATTTTTTTAATGAATCAAATTAGTTTTGATGACATACAGATTTAAAACTGTGTAATAAATTTAAAAGACGACATCCGGCCCATACTGTTTGGTTTTTTTTTTTCCTTCATTTTCTTCTTTCTTTAAATAACATGTGATTGTGCGACTTATAAAAGTTTTGCACCATGGAGACATGTCCAAAACAACAAAAAGGTTCAATTGCGGTTTCAAAATTTTTTGTTTTGTGATATTATTTCGAAGGTTTTTGTTTCGTCATATTATTTGTTTCTAGATTTTTTTTTATATTTGTAGTTAGATTTGCGATTTCAACGGATTTTATTTTATTATTTCTTTTCAGTTTTTTCAACAATTTTTTTTTATAAATAAATTCTACATTAAATTATTAACTATAGTCTTTTTTTAACTAAGTTATTTAATTTTAGTTTTTACAATGATTTTTTATATTTTTACAATGAATTTAAATTTATTCAACTTATTAAACATCTAAATTTAAGATATCCATATTTTTCAAATTCATTTCTTTTATATAAAACAACATAAATGTAAATTGTCGTTTCAATAATTTTTAAATTCATTTTTAAACATTTAAATATATAATCATATTTTATTATAAATTAAATTTTAAAATTAGCCTAATTTTGAATTTTAAAATTTATATATTTTTTATGGGTTTTTTAATTAAAAGAGTGTTTTGCGAAGAATAAAGGATTTCAAAATTATATATAGAGACAAAATAATTGATTGTATTATTAAGGGTAAAAAGATCATGAATAAAAGTATAGACTAAATGATAGTTATCTATATTTGTATCCTTTTATATAATGTTATAGATTATATAAATATAAATTTTAGTGACAGAAAAATGTACGAATTTGAATCTCTAATGTTAAAGGAAGCCTCTCAATGTCGCTACCTTGTGTTTGGAAAGGACATATTTAAACATATATTACATCGTTTCAAAATTGAATTGATTCAAGAAAGTTATTTTGAGTTTTAAAGATATTATCGCATCACTTTTTATTTCATTTCAATTATATAATCAATGTAAAAACACGATATAAAATGATTTTTTTTTACTAGTGTGTCGGCCATTGTTTGCTACATATTTAGCAAACTAATTTATACATATATCACTTGTGATTTTTATTATTAGAAGAAATTATACTTATTATTATAAGACAATTTATTAAAAAATATAATTCTTTTTATAAGGTGCTTTACAGTTTTTATAAAATAATTTTATATCATTTTTTGCCTCTATTAAAATTTGTGAAAATGTATTTTTTTGCTGTTGAATAATGAGAAGAGAATTTGAGACATAAATATTTATTCTCACCTCTAGAACTCTCCAAGTTATTTATCAATTTTATTGGTATGGTATATAAACTTTGATATGAAATAATATCTTTATTCCTCACAAAAATTTATAATAAGTAGGGTAAAATTGGTATATCATAATTTATTTTATAAATTCAATAAAATCAACAAACATAACTGTTTATATTGATTTAGTTAGAAGTACATTATAATGGGGCTGAACTGTTTAGCCAAAAAGGATATGCTTCCAGGATTGAAGAATGTAGAGTTGGAGAAGTGTTCTCATTGCATGGCTGGTAAACAAACCAGAGTATCCTTCAAGAAGCATCCTCCCTCCAGGAAGTCAGAGTTGCTTGAATTGGTGCATTCTGATGTTTGTGGTCCGTTGAAAGTAAAGTCCTTTAGTGGCGCACTTTACTTTGTTACCTTTATTGATGACTGTTCCAGGAAACTATGGGTCTATGCTTTGAAGACAAAAGACCAAGTGCTGGAGAAGTTTAAGGAGTTTCATGCCTTAGTTGAGAGACAATCAGGCAAGAAGCTGAAACGCATTCGTACTGACAACGGTGGTGAGTATTGTGGACCCTTTGATGTCTATTGTAAACAGCATGGTATTGCACATGAGAAGACTCCTCCTAAAACTCCTCAGCTGAATGGTTTAGCGGAGAGGATGAACAGGATATTGATTGAGAGAGTGAGGTGTATCCTCTCTGAAGCTAAGTTGTCCAAGCATTTCTGGGGTGAGGCACTGTACACGGCGGTACATGTTATCAATCTTAGTCCTGCTGTTGCTTTGAATTCTGAGGTGCCAGACAAAATTTGGTTTGGCAAGAATGTTAGCTATGATCATTTGCATGTCTTCGGTTGTAAGGCATTTGTTCATGTTCCAAAGGATGAAAGATCTAAGTTGGATGCGAAGACCAGGCAATGCATCTTTATTGGTTATGGTCAGGATGAACTTGGCTACAGGTTGTATGATCCTGTTGGGAAAAAGCTTATTAGAAGTCGTGATGTGCAGTTCATGGAAGATCAAACCATTGAAGACATTGATAAGGTGGAGAAGTCTACACCTAAGGAAGATGGTAATGTGGCTGATGTTGATCCAATTCGGTTATCAGCTAATGAATTGGATACTAATGTTCATAATGATGAGCAACATGGTGATATTGATAATCAGCAGGTTGGAGATGAATTAGAGGTTCCAATTGGTGATGCTCAACATGAAGATGATATGGTACATGATGATGATCATGATGATGCACCTGAGCCACCACAAGTTCAACCTAGGAGATCTACTAGGCCAAAACAACCTTCTAAGAAGTACACTCCTAATGAGTATGTTTTGTTGACTGATGAGGGAGAACCCGAATGTTATGATGAGGCCATTGAGAGTGAAGAAAAGCAAAAGTGGTTGGATGCTATGCAGGATGAGATGAAATCTCTGCATGATAATCACACTTATGACTTGGTAAAGTTGCCTAAGGGTAAAAGGGCCTTAGAAAATAGGTGGATTTTCAGGGTGAAGCAAGAGAGCAATTCTACATCTCCCAGATACAGAGCCAGATTAGTTGTGAAAGGCTTTAGACAAAGAAAGGGTGTTGACTTCAATGAGATTTTCTCACCTGTGGTAAGAATGACGTCCATCAGAACTGTGCTAAGTTTAGCTGCTACTCTTGATCTAGAGGTTGAACAGATGGATGTGAAGACAGCTTTCCTTCATGGTGATTTGGAGGAAGAGATTTACATGAAGCAACCTGATGGTTTCCTTATTGAAGGAAAAGAAGACTATGTGTGTAGGCTACGAAAGAGCCTATATGGTTTGAAGCAGGCTCCAAGGCAGTGGTACAAGAAGTTTGAATCTGTTATGTGTGATCAAGGCTACAAGAAGACTACTTCTGACCATTGTGTTTTTGTTAGAAAATTTTCTGATGAAGACTTCATCATCCTGTTGCTGTATGTTGATGACATGCTTATTATTGGGAAAGATGTTTCCAAAATTGACAGGTTGAAGAAACAATTGGGTGAGTCATTTGCCATGAAAGACATAGGAGCTGCTAAGAAGATTCTTGGTATAAGCATCATTCGTGATAGAAAAGATAAGAAGCTTTGGTTATCACAGGAGCACTATATTCAGAAGGTGTTGCAGAGATTCCATATGGAAAATGTTAAAACTGTAAGTACTCCTCTTGCTGCTCATTTTAAACTGAGTGTTAAACAGTGTCCTTCAAATGAAGCTGAGAAGATAATCATGAGCAGAGTTCCTTATGCATCTGCGGTGGGTAGTTTAATGTATGCAATGGTATGTACAAGACCTGATATTGCACATGCGGTTGGTATAGTCAGTAGATTTCTGTCAAATCCAGGTAGAGAGCATTGGAATGCTGTGAAATGGATTTTGAGGTATCTTCGTGGTACTAGTGGTTTGAAGCTTTATTTTGGAGGTGATAAACCTACTTTGGTGGGTTATTCAGACTCAGATATGGCTGGAGACATTGATTCTAGAAAGTCCACTTCAGGCTATTTGGTTAAGTTTGCAGGGGGAGCTGTGGCTTGGCAATCAAGATTGCAAAAGTGTGTAGCATTGTCCACTACTGAAGCTGAGTTCATTGCACTTACTGAAGCGTCCAAGGAATTGTTATGGGTGAAGAAATTCTTGCAAGAGCTTGGTTTTGTGCAAGACAAATACCTATTGTATTGTGACAGTCAAAGTGCTATTCATCTTGGTAAGAATCAAACTTTCCATTCTAAATCCAAACACATTGATGTGAGGTATCATTGGATACGTAATGTTTTGGATGCTAAGCTGTTGGAGTTAGCTAAGGTTCATACAAATGATAATGGTGCTGATATGATGACCAAGGCATTGCCAAGAGGAAAGTTTGAAGTTTGTTGTGAGATCGCCGGAATGGCGGTCACCTCCACATAGTTGTGAGGGGGGAGATATGTTGGGTTGGGCTCCCAACTATGTGACCAAAGGCCCAAATTTGGCAAGCCCATTTTTCTCACTAAACCTAAGTGGAGTAGGGATCAATTGAAGGAGGTAGAGAGGTCTGAAACAGAGGAAAGACAGCAGCTAAGAAAGGGAGAGAGAAGAGTGAAATTCTGGTTCGCACTTACACCTTTCACCGTTGGATTGAGCTGATTTTTGGATAGTGAGTTCCAAACGTTAGGTTCTTCATTCTGACCGTTCGGATCGTCAATCTGAGGTCTGGTTTGTCAAAGAACAGCTTCGTATCAGCAGGTCATTTTGTGAAATTTTTATCTTCATTGTTCTCATTTCTAAGCTTTTGTGCTTAGTTAGTTTTGGCTGATTGATAACACAATTTGGTGTGTTTATTAGAGACTCTGTTGTACCCCATTATTGATCATAGTGGAATTTTCATTGGTCTGGACGACTCGTGGTTTTTATCCTACATTGAGGGGTTTTCCACGTTAAAATTGTCGGTGTTCTTGTCTTTGTTTAAATCCTGTTTTTGCTCTATTTGTTTGATGCTCCTCACAGATTCTCGCAAGTAAGGGAGATTGTATTTCCGCTGCGTTATTACTTTTTTTTGTAGAGTTGTTATTGCATATTGGTCATTTCTCCCATCAAAATCATACTCTAATTCTAATTGACAAACCACACATCATATTTAAGTAACTATATCTAATTTTTCTTTCAATTTTGTTTATCTGAAATTTTTTATTACGTGTATGATGCATCGTTTTAACCCTTTTAATATGCCTTTATTTAGCCTTTTAAGTCATTCCATCTATCATTTAATTCTCCTTTCTTCTATTTCAAATAATTATTAATTATTTATTTAAGACAGTTATTTTTCCCTTCCAGTATTAATTATATGAATGATTATGTAAGCCTTTTAACAAAGTTAGTGTATTGAGTTTGAAACTGTTTCAGGGTGCTGTTTCTTATATATGTATACGACCTGATAATGTACATTGTGCCAATGGTGGAGGTTTTAATCTGAATAACGCTCAATTGGTCGAACAAAAACTATTTTAATTATATCATTACACATTAAAATTATCTTATTCTCTTCAATCGACAAAACATGGCAATGGAAAACTAAAGTGAAAATCATTGTAACTTAATTTTTTGGAAGGAGGGTTGAAGATTCTTAAAGGCAACTATGAGAAACTTTAGTGAAATGTAGAAGCCGCCAAGAAAAACTAGCGGCTTTTATTTAATTATATATATTCTTTAATTATATATGAGAAACTATGTTGAAGCATCCAATTGGAATAAAGGTTGAAGATTCTTTAATGCCCAAACCACAAAACCGTTTCAGTGGAAAAAACAGGACATTCAAAAAATAATGTTTTCATATACACTAACGTTAAGATAATTGAGCAGCCAACTTGGACTTCATGCAATAGTGGCAATTGCAACTTGATTTCGTCTGAATCTCAGTGCAAAGTCTCAGAAACTTGGTAGAACCTTCCAATAACCATTTCTCTTTACCTCAATACATAATCAAACAACTTCATTCACAGCTTCAACCCTTCATTTCTATCACCCGTTCTTGCTTTTGCATTTGCATCTTTACACAAATTCTATTGCACATCTTTCATTCTCTACAAGTTTGTTTCCACTTTTGGCAATTGCAATGGCATCTAACGCCATCATCCAATGCAGCTCCTCTTCTTCTCACATGATAAGGACTTATGATGTGTTTGTCAGCTTTCGCGGTGAAGACACACGCAACAACTTCACTTCCTTTCTCTTTCATGATCTCAGTAGAAATGGCATTGTGGCTTTCAAAGATGATACGCATCTCCACAAAGGTGAATCCATTGCACCCGAGTTGCTACAAGCCATTGAAGGGTCTCGCCTTTTCATTGTGGTCTTCTCTAAGAACTATGCTTCCTCCACTTGGTGCTTGCGTGAATTAGCACACATATGCAATTGCATTCAAACTTCACAAAGGTGTGTTCTTCCTATCTTTTATGATGTTGATCCTTCAGATGTGCGAAAACAGAGTGGATGCTATGAAAAAGCCTTTGTAGAACATGAAGAAAGATTCAGAGAAGATAAAGAGAAGATGGAGGAAGTGCAGACATGGAGAGAATCTCTCACTCGAGTGGCCAATCTCTCTGGTTGGGATATCCAAAACAAGTAAATAATCTTCTCTCATTTCTTGATGGTTCTTTATTTCTTACCTATATAACACTACCTTATATCCATCTGCATATATTCATCATTACATTGTTACGTAGTTTTCTTGTTCTTACTATCCCTTTCTAAAATAGAGTTGAGAGAGGTTGAAGACATAACATGTAGATTGCATACAAACAAATATGCCTTTAATATACTTAGCATTTAAAATAGGAAAAAGTACTGTATTATTTTCATTTCCCATTCATGTACATCCTCTGATTTGGTTCTTTAGGAGATAATTTGGCATTCTTTATTTTCTTTTAAATTTCAGGCCACAATACGTAGAGATCGAAGAAATTATTCAAAAGATAAAAAATATAATGGGTCATAAATTTTCGTGGCTTCCAAAAGATAATTTAGTTGGAATGGAATCTCGTGTTGAAACATTATCAAGGATATTGTATTTAGAGTTGGTTAATGATGTTCGTGTTGTTGGAATTAGTGGAATGGGTGGGATAGGAAAGACAACTCTTGCTTATTCTTTATATGAAAGAATCTCTGAACAATATAAATTTTGTTGTTTTATTGATGTAAGCAAAATTTATCAAGCTTCTGGTACTATAGGTGTACAAAAACAGTTACTTTCTCAATGTCTTAAAGAAAAGAATCTTGAGATTTCCAATGCTTCTGAGGGAACATGTTTAGTATGGGAAAGGTTACACCATGCAAGGGCACTTATTGTTCTTGATAATGTTGATCAAGATAGGCAACTAAATATGTTTACAGGAAATAGGGAGACTCTGTTACGTGAATGCCTAGGTGGAGGGAGTAGAATTATCATAGTTTCTAGGGATAAACATATATTGAGGAAATATGGAGTAGATGATGTTTATCAAGTCCAACCATTGAATGACGAAGATGCTACCCAATTGTTCTACAAATATGCTTTCAAAGGTAATCATATTATGACTGGTTATGAGGAGTTGACATATGATATACTATCACATGTTCAAGGCCATCCTTTGGCAATTCAAGTATTGGGCTCATCTTTGTTTGATCGAAATATCTCACAGTGGAAAAGTGCATTGGTTAGATTTAAAGAAAATAAAAGTGACAATATTATAGATTTCCTGCGATTAGGTTTTGATGAGTTGGATAACCTAGAGAAGGAGATATTTCTAGATATTGCTTGTTTCTTCAACAATGAAAAGGAAGAAAGGGTGATGGAGATTCTAGATTTTCGTGAATTTCATCCTGAATATGGTCTACAAATTCTTGCTGAAAAATCACTTATAACTGTTGAATGTGGACATATTCGTATGCATGACTTGTTGATAGATTTGGGAAGGTGCATTGCTCGAGAAAAATCACCTAAGGAGCCAATAAAGTGGACTAGGTTGTGGGATTACCAAGATCTGCACAAAGTTATGTCAAACAATATGGTAAAATATTATTTGAGTTTTTGAAATGTTAGGTTCTCATTTTTCTACAATCTGTAAATGCTTCCAAAGATCTAACATTTTCTTCCCTTTTTACATTATTATAGGAATCTGTAAATCTTGAGGCTATAGCTGTTGTAGATTTCCTAATGGAGTTTGATGAAACAACTATAAGGGCAGATGCTCTATCAAAAATGAGTAAACTTAAGTTTCTCAAACTTGAATTTGTGAACTTTTGTGGCAACCTCGATCATCTTTCTAATGAGTTGGGATATCTTAGATGGGGAGATTATCCTTTTAAGAGTTTACCTCCAAGTTTTCAACCGGACAACCTTGTTGAGTTGTCTCTACGTGTGAGCAACATCAAACAATTGTGGAAAGATAGAAAGGTAGTGTAGATTGTTATTCTAGCTTTTTCTATTTTGTTTTTCAATTAATAAATAAAAATACAAACTCTCTTATGTTATTTACTTTATCTCATATTCACTTAAGAAAGAAAAGAAAGGTTGAATATCACTATTAACTTTGTTTCCTACTATTGTCCCTTCTTTGCAGCATCTACCGAATTTAAGACATTTGGACCTCGCTCATTCCAAAAACCTAATCCAGATACCAGATCTTGGGGAGGCCCCAAATCTTAGGTTGTTGGATTTGAATGGATGTAAAAAACTCAGGCAGCTTCATCCATCTGTTGGTCTTTTAACAAAGCTGACTCTTTTGAATTTGGAAAAATGTAAAAGTCTTATCAAGACACCACATTTCAGAGAGAACCAAATTCTTGAAACACTAAATTTACGAGGATGTAGACAACTCAAGGAGATCAATCCATCCATTGGTCTTCTGCAAAAGCTTACCTTTTTAGATTTGGATAGGTGTGAAAATCTAATAAGCTTACCCAATAGCATATTGTGCCTAAGTTCTCTAGAATATTTGAATCTCTCTCGCTGTCCGAAATTGTTTAATACCCAGTTGTTACATGAAGCAAGGGATGAAGAGCAAATGAAGAAGCTTTGCATAGGTGAATCTCCGATTTGTTCCCACTCAACATCGTCCATCATGAAAAAGTGGTTTAAGTCACCTTTACATTTGTTGCATTCTAGAGCACGTAAAGGTCCAGTTAGTCGCTTGTTGCCTTCCTCGCCTACACTTGGTTGTATGCGTGAACTTCATCTAAATTTCTGCAATTTAGTTCAAATACCTGATGCTATTGGAAATTTACATCTCTTAGAATCCCTATGTTTAAGGGAAAACAATTTCGCCACACTGCCGAGCCTCAAGGAGCTTTGGAAGCTGTACTCTTTAAATTTACAAGATTGTAGGCAGTTGAAGTATTTTCCTGAGCTTCCTTCGCGAACTGACTTGTCATCAGAAAGATACCAGCTCCCAGAGTATTTAAATAGGGATCTTTATGACATAAGAGAGCATTTGAGAGTTGAGGTTTACAAGTACAAGAAAGCGGGATTAAATATTTATGGTTGTCCAGAATTAGTTGATTTGGAACGTTGCACTAGCATGGCTTTTTCATGGACGAGACAAATTCTTGAGGTGTGTCCACTCCTTCCTTTCTTTCTTTTTCTTTGTGTGTGTGTGGGAACCAGGAACTAACACATAGTTATGTCTGTGGTACTAGGCTCACTACCAATACAAACGTCCGTGTCTGTCATACAATGATGTGTTTCCTCTACACATTGCAAGTATTATTAGAGGAAGTGAAATACCCAGTTGGTTCAACAATGATCACGAAGGCATAGGCAGTTTAATAACCTTAGATGAATCTCCCCTTATGCAGAAAGACAATAATTGCATAGGCCTTGCTTGTTGTGTAGTATTTGGACCTCCTTCTAGAATAATGGCTCCTCCCAAAACAGAATCAGTTCGTCGTTTTCGTGCTGAGATTCCATTGTTTTTGGGAGAAGATCAAGTCACGGAAGATCACTTGTGGTTGTTCTATTATGCTTTACCACAATCGTTGTTGACATGCTGGGATGCACATTTCAAATTGGAAATTGAGATAACAAACATTGGAAGTTGGACTTTTGAGGTGAAGAAATATGGGTATCGTTGGGTATATGAGAAACCCCTAGAAGTATCAAACTTGATAATGATGCACAACCCAAATTCGTGAGCTTGGAAGCACAACTTTTTGGCAATTGAGGAAGCCATGCATGTATCAACTGCATATTTCTGCTACACTTCCATAGTTCCATCCTATAGAAGGATTGGAGGCATCATCCAATATGGATGCAAGATTAGTAACAATAGACCAAACAAGGATGCACAGTAGAATTCAAATTCACAATGACTCCATGGATGTCTTTACAAGTTGCACTAAGATTAAATTTAGTGCTACTTTGTTTGATTACAGAGGGAAGAAATGCTCTTGGTCTTTTATTTTATTTTATTTTATTTTTTTTATTTTCTCATTATTTAAAAAATGTAAAGCATATTAAAGTTGTTCCATAATCAGTTTCCGCATCTTGCATCTGTAGGATCCTTCTGTTGGTAAGCATATGATTCTTTTTCTTTTGTTTTATATGTTTCTAATCCTTTTTATATTGACATAACCTAATATTATGCTCCTTTTGTTGGTTTTATTCAAGTTATATTACTCATGATTGCAACAATAGATTTTAAAAAATGATTCCTTGAATTTGTCAATGTAATAATGAGGACATTGAAAAAAAGGAACAAGATTGTAGAGTAACTAGAAAGGAAATGAGGGAAAATATATTTGAAGTTCGACTTACCTTATCTTTGTTTTATGCATTCAAGTCTTATATACTTCAATCAAAATAGAACTTACTTCTGTTTCATATTTTGATCCAAACAGTCATTGCCCTGTTCTCTGATATTGGAGGGCATGACTAGTCTCAAGGATTTTGATTCCTAACAAAATAATTGGAAAACAAAATGAATTATTTGCTGTATTGTTTTGAAAATTAAATTGAAGATTGAACAAACAAGGCAAATGCTTCTAAAAACCCAAAATGATTGTTAGAGAGACAATTTTACTCAAATTGAAAATTGAAGATATAAGTTGCTTAGAAAGGATAAATTTAAAGAGAAACAATTTTACAAGACTGCCCAGCCATAAGAAGCCTTCCAAACTGTACTACTTAAACTTACAACATTGTAAAGAAGTTGAAATATTTTCTTGAGCAACCTCGGTTGTCATCTTCGTGCTAGAATTCCGGTGGATTTTGATGAAGATCTACGGAAAATTGTCTGTGCTTGGAGCTCCATTTTTTTCCTGCCATTTAATTCCACTCTGTTTGAAATGGGTAAGAAATGTTTCATTTCTTTTCTGCCATTTAATTTTAAGTAAATTATATGAGTTCCTCTCTAAAGTTTCATGAGACACACAACTCTCCAATGATAAAATATTGTTTACTTTGGATTTACATTCTCAAAATTTTGTTTTTGGTTATCATCAAAAAAGTCTTTAACTAATAGAGTATGTGTATGCTTTATAAATTCTTGTTTCTCCTCTTATTTTAACGATGTGAAACCTTATTTATATCTCACATTATGGAGTGTCAACATAATGTTTTTCAAAAGATGATTAAGAGATAGAAAAAATAGGGTGTATGTATGTAATTTCACAAAACATCAAGGTGTGTTTTACTCTAATTTTTTTTAATTTGTCTTTACTGTTTTTCTGTTAATAAATTTATTAATCTCATTCTAAATTTGATGTACAATATGAGTTATTGAATAAAGTAAGTTTGAGTAAGTCGATCCCTCCTTATATATATATCATGGTTTTAAATTGCGGACCGCAACACGTGTTGCGGCCGCAATATTGCTGTTGCTACCTTGTCCGCAACGGCATCGGACCGCAATTGCGATGATACTCGAAATCACACATTTTTCCGCAACGTAACGGTGTTGCGTCCGCAACACATCTGCAATGTACCGCAATACATTTGTAATGCGATAAATTGATACTATAATTTTAAAATAAATTAAATTATTCATTAAAATAATAAGATATTTAAAAAAAAAGAATTAAAATGTATAAATCCTTAAAAATAAAATATATATTGATAATTATAAATTTTTTATATTTAGTGAAAATAATTAATAATTTCACACCGCAACAACCGCAATCCGCATCGCAATACCCGCAATCGCAGTAACTGCAACCGCGACCGCAACCGCAATTTAAAACCATGATATATATAAATGGTACAAAATATAACAATACATAAATGGTGGAAGCCTCGTTTGGGCTTATCTTGTACAAAAGTCAACCTATGTACTTCTATGGTATATACAAAAGAATTCTGACCCAATCCAAAATTAGTATTTCTAACTACACACAAAATGACGCAGAGCTTTTAAAGTTGGCTCTGCAATTGCACCACTAAATCCTGCATCAACTTAATCTTTTGACTGAGTTTATTGGACAACTTAACATCAGTTTGAAATATGATATAAAGGAGTGGCAAGGTTTTGATGTTGTGGTGAAGAAATATGGGAATTGTTTGGTAAATGAATAGGATCTAGAACTGTCAAAATTAAGAATGATACATAGCAGAAATTCTTCAGCTGTGAAGCACAACTACTGATGGAAGCATCACAGTGAGGAACTTGATATAGACCTGTGTATTGCCTAGAATTAGTTGAAAGGGAACTCTGCACTGGCAATCTAGCATGACTGTTTCTTTTGGTTGTAATTTACCAGAGGATGGTACAATTTTTTATCCTCTTTATGTAACTTGAAACAAAATCAGTGAATTTTATGTCTAGTATGCTCTTTGTTAGTGTAGAGTTGTATGATGCACCAATCATGTTTTATTCTAGTCATTTTACTTTGACAGCTGGAAGAGTAACTTTTAAAAAAAATACTCCTCGTTCGGTCAATTTAATAATCTCGGGACATAAAATCAAGGAACAAGATTTCAGACCAAGTGGAAAGGAAGTGAGAAAAAAAAAATAATAATAAAAGTGTGTTGATATTAGCTTTTAACAATGTCTAAAAGTAAATCCAACTTGACTGCATCGAAAGCAAAATGGAAATCACGAATGTGAAATAAAGAAAAACGCAATTATGAGAAGGCTTCCAAGAAAAAACGCCAAAACCGCATTATAGTGTTTCTCTTGTTTATATCCTGAAACAAAATTGTCCTTGCTTTGCAACCTTGTTTCAAATGCTATGCATTTGTTTTGACAATAATTATTTTGATTAGAATCTTCATTAGTTTTCTTATTCTCTATTAATTTTTTCTTTCTAATTTATGCAATTTTAATTCCTTTACAACAAGCACAATCATTTTGCTTCTTTCAAATTCCGAGGTGAGCAATTTTTTTTGTCTTATTACATTTCGTGAAATTTATTAAATTTCAATTTCCGTTTTTCTTGGTTTTAAACCTAATACAAAGGGTTACATTACCTATGATCTCAAAAATAGATCCATCACAGTTTTTAGACTTGTGGTGTTTTATGAAGATTGTTTTCCTTATATATCAAGGATAATTCTTCTAATCCTTTGTTTGTTTTTCCTACACCTGATAAACCCAATTACCAATTTAGTGTTTCATGATAATGCCATCGTTTGATGCACAGTAGAATTCAAATTCACAATGATATTAAAGTTAGTAGCGACTCTGATTGATTACATATAGAAGAAATGCTCTTGGTCATCGTTTCTTTTTATATTATTTAAAAAGTGTAAATTAGCTATATTTTTGGCCCTTAACTCCCTTCTAGTTTTTTAATTTGTGTTTGTATATTATTTGACTGATTTTACTTGTAATTCTACAGAATGATGAGATATTGTCTGCTTTGGGCTAAGCTGTCACGATTTTGCTTTTGATCATCATCCCAAAGGCTTCTCAATCATTGGAATATGTATATACTTTATAAATTGTTATTTTTCTTCTTATTTTATCAATGTGAGACTTGTTTGTATCCCAACATTTTCATACGAGTGGTCGTTCACACAACTTGAAATAAATCTTGGCAAAATGGAGAAAAGATGCTTCCAAACTCTCATGGGAAAACACTATCAAATTGTTGCACAATCAGTTTTCACATCCTGCATCTGTAGGGCCCTTTTGTTGGTAAGCATATCATTCTTTTTCTTTTCTTTTATATGTTTCTATGGTACTTTTGTTGGTTATTATTCAAGTTATATTACTCATGATAGCAAGAATAGATTTTTAAAAACGATTCCTTGTATTTGTCAATGTAATAACGAGGGCATCAAACCAAAAAATAAGATTGTAGACTAACTAGAAAGGAAATGAAGGGAAATATATTTGAAGTTTGACTTGCCTTTTATGCATTTCAAGTCTTATATACTTATAATAAATACAATCTGTTTCATATTTTCATCCAAACAGTCATTAGTCATTACCCTGTGCTCTGATATTGGAGGGCTTGACTAGTCTCAAGGATTTTGATAATAGGAAAACAAAATGGATTATTTGCTGTAATGTTTTGAAAACTAAATTGAAGATTGAACAGATAAGGCAAATCGGACTAAAAACATGTTGAAGTATCTACTTTTATTATTAATTAAGAAACCCAATTAATTCTATATACATATATTTATTCAGAATTTTCAATTTTTGTGCTAGAAAACTGTTATTATTCACTGATTTCCTTTAAAGTTGCCAACTAGTAACTTTTTTCATCCCTTTTGGGAGACACTGAGCTAAAAATTGATATCACCTTATGAAACTATCAAGAGTTTATAAATTATTCCAAAATTTCTCATTCTGTACACTTAAACCTCAAAACGTTAAAATTGATCTCTCTGGTTCTGTAAAAATACAGCACGGATGCAATAGATTCGAAAGACAAATTCTTCCTGTTATATTTATGTATATATGCTATGCCAGATATTTATAGCATGAAAATTGCATTTGAATTTAATACTTTGTTTCTATATATATTTTTTCAATGCTGGTAGATGTAGCATTTTATTTTACATTAACAAAGTTAGTGTTCCCTTCCAGCATTATATCAATAATTATGTTTGACCCGCGCGATGCGCGGATTCATGTATAAATATATAAAATATAATTTTAAAATATTAAAAATATTTTAAAAATCATTACATGAAATTATAAAATTAAGTAATTGTAAAATATTATGTATTGAAATAAGAAGAATATAAAGTTTATATGTAAAAAAATTATAGCAAAAAATATGATATAATTACATCTACTTTACATATGAGTGTATGAAGTGAATTAATAATGTCTTAAATGAAACATGAGATATATAATAATGATTTAATTTTTATGTTAAAGTAATATTATTTTATTATACAATATATGAATCCAATTGTGACAAATTTAGTCACGAAACTTGTTCTTTTGTCATTGATATATTGTAAATTGTGACAAATTGAATTTTTAGTGTAAAATCAATTTCATAATCAACTTTTTAACATAGGATTTTGATCAAATTGAACTAATAATCTTGAAGTATTGTAAACAAAAGACTAATGAATGAGTCATTTTTTTAAAATTAATTATAAAGAAAAATTATTATTTCAATGTTTAATTGATCTATAAATATCAGTTGCTAGAACTATTTTAAAAATTTTATGATGTATATATATTTT